GCATCATGAAGAGGCCAGCAGTGATGAGGCATCCTCCAGTGAAGACGATGACGTGCACCAGACAAAGCGGGAGCGCAGGAAGTTCCAACAGAAGTCCAAGGGCCAACCGGAATGTGCTGGCTGCGGAGGCAACCATTCCCGTGCCAAGTGTCGATTCAGAGACGCCATCTGTAGGAAGTGTTCCAGAAGGGGCCACATCGCTAAGGTCTGCCGATCGGCTCCGTCTGACACCCCCCCTTCATCGACTCGCAAGTCCAAGTCTTCACTCCAGTCTGCCAAGGAAAGTTGTTTCGCTCTCACCAACTGCCGCTGCCCGTCTGGAACCACGATTGGCCAAACCGACTCGCCTACGCGACGCAAGCTGAACGTCACGGTGCTCATTGAAGGAGCTCCATGTGACATGGAGATCGACACCGGGTCTGCCCTGTCCATCGTGTCATGGAGCACCATCAAAAGACTGGTACCCAGAGTGTCCAAAAGGCAACTCGACTCTCACCGCGTACACCTGAGAGACTACCAGGGAAACGACATTCCCGTGGTAGGCGTTGGCCGGTTCCGGATCGCCTTCAAGGATTTTTCGGGCCTGCTCCGGTTGGTGGTGGTCGAAGGTCAGCGGCCAAGCCTCCTAGGGCTAGACTGGTTTGATGCCCTCGGCCTGGAAGTCACCGGCATCAACTGCATCTCTAACGCAGAGACTGAGGGTCTGGTCAAAGACTTTGCCGAGGTTTTTGACGGCACCTTGGGCCAATATACAGGTACGCCCATCTCCTTTAGCCTTGATCCACAAGTCGCCCCCATCAAGCTAAAGCCACGCCGGGTTCCCTTTGCTCTCAAGGCTAAGGTGGACGAACAACTGGACAAACTGATCACCCAAGGAGTTTTGGAGCCGGTTGACCACGCAAAGTGGGAAACCCCCATCGTCACGCCTGTCAAGCCAGATGGGTCGGTGAGAATCTGCGCTGACTACAAGTGCACGATCAACAAGGCACTTCAGCAGCACGCTTATCCGGTTCCTGTTGTCCAACACCTGCTGCATTCCCTGGGTGAGGGTAAGGTCTTCGCTAAGCTGGACCTTGCCCAAGCCTATCAACAACTGCCAGTCGATGATGCCACTGCGGAAGCCCAGACGATCGTCACCCACCGGGGGGCATTCCGTTGCCGCCGGTTGCAGTTCGGGGTGAGTGTGGCTCCTGGCATCTTCCAAAGCCTTATGGAGCGTCTCCTGCAAGGGCTTCCAGGCGTGGTACCATATTTTGATGACGTCTTGGTGTCTGCAGACTCACACCAGCAGCTGTTCGAGCGCCTCCGTGCCGTGCTGACCAGGTTCCAGGAGGCCGGGCTCAAGGTAAAGAGGGAGAAGTGCCAGATCGCCGTTCCACAGGTAGAGTTCCTGGGCTATCTTATCGATGCCTCCGGTCTTCATCCAACCACATCCAAGATCCGCGCTATCCAGCAGGCCCCCACCCCAAAGAACAAAACGGAGTTGCAGGCATTCCTGGGGCTGCTGAACTTTTATAACATGTTCCTGCCCCACAAAGCCACAGTGGCTGAGCCTCTTCACCGACTCCTTAGCACTAAGACGCCTTGGGCCTGGGGTCATTGGGAGACGGCGGCCTTCAACGCGGTCAAGGCTCTCCTTTCTTCAGACAGTGTGCTGGTACAGTACAGTGAATCCAGGCCGCTGGTCCTTGCCTGCGACGCCTCACCTTTTGGCATCGGTGCTGTCCTTAGTCACCGTTTTCCAGATGGAAGAGAAGCACCGCTCGCCTACTTTTCCAGGACACTATCTCCGACGGAACGGAATTACAGCCAGCTCGACAAGGAGGCATTGGCACTTGTGGCTGGAGTGAAGAGGTTCCATGAATACCTCTATGGCAGGACTTTTGACCTCATCACTGACCACAAGCCACTCCTGGGCCTCCTCGCCGGTGATCGTCCAACTCCACCGGTCCTCTCACCACGCATGCTGCGATGGACTGTTTTCCTGGCTGCCTACCACTACCGGCTCATCCATCGCCCGGGGAAATCGATGGGCCATGCCGACGCCCTCAGCCGTTGCCCTCTTCCAGCATTTGTGGAAGACCCGGCTCCAGCTTCATCGCTCCTTCTGATTGAGGATCTTCCGGCAGCGCCTGTATCGGCTGCCACTGTGGCCTCCGCATCTGCCCAGGATCGCACCATCAGCCGGGTGCTCAACTGGGTGTGGAGGGGGTGGCCACAAGGGCCTTTTGCATCGGAGTTCCAGCCCTTCGCAACCAGACAACATGAACTCTCAGCTCATCGTGGCTGCCTGCTGTGGGGAGACCGCGTCGTGATTCCCCAGGGACTCCGTCAGCGCGTCCTGGAGGCTCTGCACGTTGGCCACCCGGGAATTGTCAAAATGAAGGCGTTGGCTCGGTGTTACGTCTGGTGGCCTAATATGGACGATGCCATCACTGCCTGGGTGTCCGCCTGTCAAGCGTGCCAGGAGTCGAGGCCTGCACCACCGGCAGCTAAGGGACACACCTGGGAGACGCCAAAGACACCCTGGTCGAGGGTGCACATCGATCTGGCTGGCCCCTTTCACGGCCGGACCTTTATGGTAGTGGTGGACGCCTATTCCAAATGGCTGGAGGTCGCACTGATGCCCTCCACCACTACCGAAGCTGTCATCCGGGTGCTGCGAGGCCTGTTTGCAACGCATGGGTGTCCTGATGTCCTTGTCTCTGACAACGGACCGCAGTTCACGTCAGGCACGTTTGAGCGGTATCTTTTGGGACTGGGCATCCGCCATGCCCTAACGGCACCCTTTCATCCATCCAGCAACGGGCAAGCGGAAAGAATGGTGCGCTCGACAAAAGAGGCACTGGCGCGCCTGGACCGGGGAGACTGGCATGAGCGGGTCGCCGAATACTTGTTCGTGCAACACATCACCCCTCATGCGGCCACAGGGAGGAGTCCTGCTGAACTGCTTATGGGCCGCCGCCTCAGGTCACCGCTCGACCGGCTACACCCAGACTTTGCCGTGGCTGAACCCCCAGGCTGTGCCAACGCACCACGGTCATTTGTCCCAGGAAACCAGGTCTTTGCCCGGAACTATGTGGGGGACATCCCTTGGGTGCCAGCCACAGTAGTGGGAGTCACTGGACCTCGCTCGTACCAGGTGGCACTCGAAAACGGACGCTTGTGGCGACGGCACATAGACCAGCTTAGGCGCAGGGTTGGGGACTTGGACACTACCGAGGTGCCCCCAACTGCGTTTGCGGCTCCAGAAGAGACACGTACAGATGGCGAGGCCCCACCTACACCTCCCTCGCAAACTGCCAGCGTGGAGCCGAACCAAGCCGTTTCAGAACAGACTCAGACCACTCCACTTGCGGAGGCTCCACCCACAGCAGCGGATCCAGGGGAGTTGGTTCCAACGCCACCTAGGGTCGCACCACAGCCTCAGCGAGAACTGTGTGGCCCTCCGGACTTGGCTACCAGTTCCCGGCGGTCTGGCAGAGTTTCCAAGCGCCCAACTTATTTAAAGGACTATGTTGTTGGACAGGTATCACTGTTGGTCTAAGTATGGGAAATGTAACCGATATGCTTTTGTGCTTAATGGAACCATTACGCGTAGTGCTGTATATAAGGAAACCATTACGATTGTAACTAACGCCTTATCTCGGTGGGGAGGGGTGTTATGTAGTGTAGTTTCACCCTGGGCCAACAGGGGGATACTGTATATAGTTTTCACTCAGGTCTGTAGATAGTTTTCACTCAGGTCCGTGGCAGTTATTTTAGGCGGGAACTCTGGGCTGTTGTGGTTACAATGTTGACAGCCGGCTGCCTATAAATACAGGCCGGCTGAGCTGTCGCAGTCAGTTGTATTCCAGCTTACCATAATAAAGAGCTACTTGAAGAAATCGCTGTGCCGGCTGCTATGTCAACCCACGACTTAACAGTATGTAACCCGAGGTACCACTGTATGTGTATCTGTTACACTAGCACAGCAAAACTATAAATGCACACAGCTTCTGACTGTGCGTATCTGGTTTTATATATGTGAACGATAACCACACCACCACTGCTGAATGTATTAATCAGGCCCACAAAGCATTTTAAAAAAATGTTGCTTTGATGCTCAGTCTCTGTTACTGATGCATCACCCCGCTCTCTAGTCCCAGCTTTACAGCACAATGCTGCCTTGATTAATTAGAACAGGTGACAACTGCTATTCCTACAGCCTTATCTTCATATCCTTCCGGTTTCACAGATGGAAACAGAGCCAAGCTTGTAATAAATAATCACCATCCTTAACATTTGTATAGCACTCTGAGTCTTCAGAGCACTTTGCTTGCATTGCAATGCTTTCAAAAACCATGTAAGGGCGGGCTGCAGTATTATTCCCCATTTTGCAGGTGGGAGGACTAAGTCTGAGAGACGGGGGGCTTGTTTAAGGCCTCCTAGTGAGTTTGTGGCAGAAGCAAGGTCTGAACTGGGGAACTCCTGGTTCATAGCTCAGATTGCAAGTTGGTTGATGGCAGTTGCACCAGAGCAAGATAAAATTTGGGGGCCTTTGTTCATTTGGATGTTACTGTTTGTTTGTTTGTTTGTTTGTTTGTTTGTTTGTTTGCTTGCTTGCTTGTTTGTTTGTTTGAAATGCAAGCAAATGATATTTGCTGGAAGTGCAACAGCAGGGATCATTCAGTGTGCAATTTATGGGTTAATTCTGTTAAAGTTAACTAGCCAGGGGGGTGGATGGATGGAGGCGTTGCTTAGCAACCAAGCAGAGTGAGGTGGTGCATGCTCTGATTGGCTGTGTAGTTCTGAGGTAATTTTCCTCTGTGTGTTTTGTTGAATGTCACCCTGCTATGTACAAAGCCTAAACTAAGAAAAATGGAACCTTTGTTCTTTTCTCCTCAAATTATACACTGCTTGGTTCAGTTTTCTCAGTAAAGTAGTATCAAGGCTTTTCTCTTTGGACTCCATCTGTGTTATTTAAGTGACTTTGCTAACAATATTCACAATGAAAATACCTGGGATTGCCACTAAATTCTGCAGCTCTTTCTTCAAGTTCATGATGTCCTTACATAACTGGATATCATCCATCCTAGAGAAACAGAAAGAAAATCAGGGTGGGGGAGCATAATATGTGTTACTTACATCTTCCTGTGGAATCAGTTTGATTAATGAATATTGTTTTTATAATATTTATTTATTTATTTATTTATTTAATGTTTATTTATTTCCCTTTTGAGGCTGTTTTTATTACAGGATTTTCATACTTAACAAGGGTACCTATGACCCTTTTTTCAATTCATAAAGTCCTTTCTACAGCATTTATATTTATTAAAAATACGTAAGAAGTTCAAAAACATGTAAGAAATAGGAAAACAGGAAGGAAAAAATGCAATCGAATAAATAGAAACATTAATATGGAAGAGGAAGAAGAAGAAGAAGAAGAAGAAGAAGAAGAAGAAGAAGAAGAAGAAGAAAGAAAGAAAGAAAGAAAGAAAGAAAGAAAGAAAGAAAGAAAGAACAATTTTTGGTTACTACATTCACAATCACAATTTTGCTGTTTTTAAATTCACTTAGAGGCATTTCAGAGCAAAAGGCAATAAATAAATATAATAAATAATAATCTATTGAGTTTCTGCCTTCCTTCTTTCCCTCTCATACAACTTGTAAGCTTAGTCATGCCTGTGTATTCACACATTTTGGCATCATATTCTGTTGTTGCTGAGATCAGAATCCTTTTCCAATAACATATCCTGCAATCATATGAGATATTAATTCTCTTTGCTGCAGAGGATTTTTTCCCATGTGCTTGTCAATAAAAAGTAATGCAGGTTCTCGGTTGATTTGTATTTCTGTTCTAAGATGGTGATTGCTGTCTGTTGGTCGTTGTTTTTTACTAGTACTTATATGAAAAATATCTTTTTAGCAGTGTAATCCAGAGGTCACAGTTCCCATAGATGCCAGGGTAGCTGCCATGACCTCCTAGGATGCCCACAAAAGGTCTCCATAATGATATCCTCCTGAGAATTGGTTTGCTCTTCCTACCTCTTTGGGTAGACTCAGCCACTCATGCCTCCATGGCAGCCATTTTGTGTTTTGGCACACCACCTCATGGCAGCCATTGCATGACTGGCACAAGGCGATGGAAGCTAGTCCATTCAGATGAATGGGGTGCTGCCTCGTCAACCTCATTCTGCCCTCAGCCACACACCACCTGCCTGGCTTCCTGCTTACAAAACCAGTCCTGGCTATCAGCTTCCAACTTTTTAGTCTCAATGCTGCCCTTATGGAACTCAGCAGGGAGGAGGATGGGGACAAACCTAGAATTGGTTGGTTGGCTCTGGCGCCACCTACTGTCAGGCTCCTTGTTGTCCCTCCAACCAGTCCCAATGGGCATCAGCTGCCACTACTATGTGCTCTACACATAGACCTCTCTATCCACCATAAAAGATGAAATCTGTGCTGTCCTACGGCTCCCACAATGCCTTCCCAGGGAGCAAAGGATTGCAGCCCAGCTTAGAATTCTTAGGTTTCCTCTCTGGGGTTCTTGATCGGTTCCTTCTGATCACAGAAACGGCTTTACACAGACACAGACAGACGGTCATAGACACACACACACACACACACACACACGGGCTTCATTGCATTAAACGGCAGCACCTTTTCCTTTAATTAACCATCTTAAAATGTTGCTTCTCTCTTGGGGGTGGGGAGGAACCAATATTAAACACATGCTCAGCGATGAGCAAACTGCCTATTATGTTCTGTGCAACAGCACTTTGAGAAATGGGATTCATATCATGAGAACGATTGTCTTTGAGGGAAATTACTGCGTTAATTAGAAGGCAGCAGTTTTCCTGGAGGAGAAGGAACACTGGGAATGGGGAAGATCCTTGAGCCAGCACCGCCAGGCATCTCTCTAGTGAAGTCACCGGAATATGAGAAGACCGGCAAAGTATGTGATCTAGAACCACACTTCTGGCGGCACAGCCTGAAGGTGCTGGTATCTGCAGGAGTTTTCACATCAGTGCAGACTCAACTCATCAAGTGTTGGTGCTGACCTTTAAAACCCTAAACGGCCTTGGCCCAGTATACCTGAAGGAGCATCTCCACCTCCATCATTCAGCCCGAACACTGAGGTGCAGCACCAAGGGCCTTCTGGTGGTTCCCTCCCTGCGAGAAGTGAGGTTACAGGAACCAGGCAGAGGGCCTTCTCAGTAGTGGCGCCCGCCCTTTGGAACACCCTCCCATCAGATGTCAAGGAAATAAACAACTATCTGACTTTTAGAAGACATCTGAAGGCAGCTCTGTTTAGGGAAGTTTTTTATGTTTCATGTTTTATCGTGTTTTTAATATTCTTCTGGGAGCCACCCAGAGTGGCTGGGGAAACCCAGTCAGATGGACAGCATATTATTATTACTATAATTATAATTATCAAGGAATGCACCATCTGTAGCCTGCAGAGATGGGTACAGACCCCTTTGCCTGAGGTGGGTACATGGGTCACTGGACTTCAGGGAACAGGGCTGGCCCTGATGGCCCCCCCTCTCTCTTTCTCTTTCTCTCCCCCCCCCCTCCCTCTCCCTCTCTCTCACACACACCTCTCTACACAGATCTGCTGTCTATATAAGATTTCCCAGAGCAACATTTCCAGGGCCCTGTTAATATTTATGAAAGTATTTCAGACCAAGCAGGGGGTCATCTTGGTTCTCTGCAGAGGGGAGGCAAGAGGGCAACTGGAAGAAGAAACCGCTCTCTAATTGGAAGCAGCCAGAGGAGGACACGGACTAATTGCCTTCTCTGGCCAGCAGACAAAATGGTTGGGCCGCCTGCTAGGCGCTTGATTACCAGTGCAAAGTCGGGTCTCTCTACATGCTCTGCAACATGAGATATAATTGCTTCTGAGATTATGAAGCAGCACACTTGGTAGCTATTATTAACTGACTTAAGAAATGAAATGCCTCTCTGGGGAATGGATACTGGATATTGTGAGGAGCAGGGTATCTGCTGGTGCCAAGCCGTGAGATCTCAAGTCTCCAAATAGGGATTATTAATTTATTATTATTATTATTATTATTATTATTATTATTATTATTATTATTTGCTACCCATTGGACTGGGTTTCCCCAGCCACTCTGGGCAGCTCCCAACATTAAAAACTCAATAAAACATCAAACATTAATACTCCAGATGTAGAGCATCACATGCTAAGCACAGGGGTTGCCAATGTGGAGCCCTCCAGAGATTGTTGGACTACAACTCCCATCAGCCCCAGCCAGCATGACAAATGGAATTTGCCATCTAGCAATATCTGGAGGGACATGGGTGCTGCTGTGGTCTAAACCACAGAGCCTTGGGCTTGCCAATCAGAAGGTCGGCGGTTCAAATCCCCACAATGGGGTGAGCTCCCATTGCTCTGTCCCAGCTCCTGCCAACCTAGCAGTTCAAAAGCATGCCAAAAAAAGTGCAAGTAGATTAATAGCTACCGCTCTGGCGCCAGAAGCGGCTTAGTGATGCTTGCCACGTGACCTGGAAAAACTGCCTGCGGAGCGGACAAACGCCAGCTCCCTCGGCCTGTAAAGTGATGAGCGCCACAACCCCAGAGTCGTTCGTGACTGGACTTAACTGTCAGGGGTCCCTTTACCTTTACCTTTTAATATCTGGAGGGCACAAATACTACCCTTGGCTTGGAGTACAGCCCCATTGGAATGAATGGAATTGAAGACAGTAACATGTCCCATTGACTTAAATGGGTCTATTCTTAGGCCACATTCTCGCTGTATGTTTAAAGAACAAGCATATTACTTTTAAACAGTCATGACTTCGCCCAAAGTTATATGGAAGCTGTCGTTTAAGAGTTTTCAGAGTTATTAGGAGACTCCTGTTCCCCTCACAGAGTTACAACTGCCAGTGGGAGGCATCATTTTCCAGTTTGCCTCAAGCGGCAAAATGTTCCTGGGAGGACGAATTATGGGGGAAGAAGGCAAAGCCCCAGTCAAACAGGAGAGGTTTGCCAAAGCTCTCCCAGCGGCGGCCTTCGCATCTTCGCACCTGATCAGTGATAAATAGCGCCGAGCGAAGCTTCCATTGTGAACACTGGGGAAATGAAAAGGGCAAACTGGAAACGAAAAACAAACAGGCCGAGGGAGGAAAAGTCAATGAACAAAGCATGATAGATGGCTCCCTCCGTAGACTTTTCTACAGGGGAGAAAAAACATTTTGATTGCAAATGCTCTGCACTGTTCGAGATGGAAAACGTCAGGGGGGAAATTCAGTGCTCACAAGGCACGGATTTGACTCTGACTCACTGGGTCTAGATGGAATTTGACAAGACAGGTGTTTACTTGACTGTGCAGTCCCAGGGCTGGGTGGCTCCTAATCCTGCTCTTGCTCCTGAAGGTGCAATTGCTCCTAACTACTATTTTGATCGTGACATACTTAATGGCTGTGCTGACAAGGCCCTTCACTTCCAGAAGCTTTTAATCCCATGCTGTAAATTTGCTACAGGCTTGAAACTCGGCTTCCCTGATTGACGTTGTAATAGCAGGAGATTGCTCAGGGCAAGAAATGATAAGGGCAGGCCTGGTGCCAGTCGGCTTGGGCAATGGCTGAGGGGCCCAGGTGCTAGAAGCTCCACTCACCACCCTTCGCTTAGGGCCCCTGGGTGCCTATTTTAGTGGTGGGTTGGCAGCCGAGCCACTACTGAATGGGAGTGAAGCTTGGCTGCCATCTGTGGGGGCTGGCTGCCATCTTTATTTACCCAGATTTCCAATGCCTCAGCCTTCAGATCTTTAACAGGGGTGCCCAAAGTGTGGGAGGTCCACGGCGTACCTGTGTTGAACACTTACACTTAATTGCAATACAATAAAATACAATATAAGGAATAAAAGTTTAAAATCATGCATCGTTGCTACAACAGAAGAATTACTGAGCGGATTTTAAAATTCCCTATATTAGTTGTCTAATAAAAAATAGCTATACAAAAGTATGTGTGCCCATCTCTAACACTTTCCAGTTTTTCAACTCTTCTCTTTTGCAGGACTTCAGTTCTTCAAATCTCGGGTTGGATCTACATTGATCTTCTAAACATTATTAAATTGAACATTCTATAAGGTCCAATGGCAATTTCCCTTCGTCAGTGGCTCAGTGCTCTGCAGCGCCCTCTGGTGTCACATTTTAATAATGCATTTTTAATGCTATAAACGACGAGTGTAGATCCACTCTCTGACTCCACAACTTCCTTCCACTAACTACCCTATCTTCTGGTTGGACTTATATTCAGTATTTCCACTCCTCCTGGCCTTTTACCAATCGGAAAGAGGACAGAGTCCTGGTTACGTTTCTAAGTCCTGTGAATTTTCAGATTCCTAGGATGAACTTTTGACCTTCCCATGCAAAACTTTCCCCCATGTACTTTTAACCTTCTTGTGAATTTTGGACCCGCTTGCCACTGACTCTGGCTCCATCCACTGTTTGGGCTCCCTGCCTTCCACCTCACCAGTCCCAATGGGTACCACCCATCACTGAGAAAAAACTATTTACTTACATAAACCTGAGCTCTGATTCTCTCCTGACTAAGACTTCCCGAAGTCTCTGGATCTTTGCCATCTCCAGTTCTATCTCCTCGGGCATCATGGTAGTTTCAGCCATCGAAATGATGTCAAGCTGATCTGTACAGGATTTAAGACAGACAGGAAATAAATGAGGGTTTGTTCATGCTGGCTTAAGAGTCTTTTAAATAAAAGAAGACAGAACAAATCACATGGAGATCTTCCATCTTTGGGAAGAGTCACATACCTTAGATAGTGAGGCTTGAATGTGTTCAGGGGTTCTGATATGATATAAGCCTTCCCATTTACCTATAAATAAGCTGAATATTCTGAATAACTGTACAGCTATAGGGTATGGCTATAGAGTATAGCTATATCAAGCAGGAGCTGCAGTGCTCTTGTTTAGGGTTGCAGCCAGCCACGCCCTCTCGCAGGAGACTCCATTCCATTACCATTCTTCATCTTGGTTTTCATTCCCCCTAAAAGAAATGGCATTCAAAGCCCACTGAGCATGTTCAGTCCTCTTTCGGTGGTTGTTGTTGTTGTTTTGTAGCTTCTCCCTCCCTCGTTTTCCCCAATTTTGGGCAGTTTGGCAAACCTTGGTTTTCTGCTGAGCCTGCTGAACCTGCTGAGCTCCACAGGGAGCTACAGTCAGATCCTGCAGCTTCTGACATACGCAGGGCCAGAGATAGCCGCTGTGGTTCCTTCATCATTTTACACAGCACGGAGGAGGGGAAATCTCAGATCAGCTGCTAAGCTACTTCCACCTCAGTGATCATGAAACAATAACCTCACTTCAACTTTCATAGTTTGGCTAAGTAGTTCCCATTTCAAATACAAACTCACTTTTCTGGTTTTCTTTCTTTTTAAATGAAATTATTCAGTAGCTTGCTTAAAAGCATCTTTTTGCACCGGTATTCCAGAGGAAGGTTGTGGAGCAATAAGGTATTTGTGAACACGGATTGCATTAAGACGGAGACCTCGGAGTTCAGCAATAATTTATGTGATGGCACAGCAACCCGTAGAAGGATCACAGGTTAAAAGCAGATGAGAGGAGAACCAGATGGTACAAGCTTTAAAACAACATCATTAGTGGAAATGGAAATCGTTGCAATGGGCGGGAACATTCACTGGGGCTGCACAATAATATCACCTTGGATATAAAAAAAAATAATACATAGGTATACATGAGAATGGGAGAGAGGGAAGTCACCGATTTCACAACAGCAAAGGTCAAAAGGGACCATCTCAGGTTCTACCTTTTGCTGGGTCAAGTTATTTTGCTACCCTAAAAATTTCTGTTGCAGCCCATTCCATCTCCCTGCATGTCACTGTGGGAAGCAGAGTCCAGCTGGAGCAGACCAAAGGTCCATAGAGTCAAGCGAGCTCTCACACAACCTTTCTGTACACTATCTAGACAAGTAGGCAGCAGAGTTCTAGGGTACATTTGGGCCAGGCAGAAACACTCCAGTGGGGTGGGAAGCAGGACCAGTGAAGGGGGTGGCTAGGGAAGAGGCATGACATGGGAAGAGGGCCAGATAGAGAGACCTAGTTGGCCCCAGGTCTGATGTTCCCTATCTGTCAGGATGCTGTCAGCAGCTTCCGGCTGGTTGCCCAGGAATTATAAAGACAAGGGAAAGTTTCTTAGCATCCTTCTTTATTTCAGTCTTTGCACAGAGAGGCTATACAACCCAGCCTCTTGGATAAGGCCGTGGTCCCAAGAGAATTTCCACCACCAACCATCTCTCCCACTTCCTCATTCCTCTTCTACAGGTGCTGCTACGTGCCCTCTGTCTTTAAGGTCTTTGCTCTCCTACTTTTAAGGCTCGCCGGGTTCTGGGAGATGGAGGGTCTGAAATGCTTTCTAATGACGTGTCAGCCGGGTGTTGTTCTGGCTCTCCCATGATTTCCCAACTTTCCCCCTCATCTGCTTCTGAGCTGTGACCTCCCTCAAACCCCTGCTGTAAATCTATACTGTCTTCCTCCTCCTTGGAGGGGTCAGGATGGGGAGACGGTCTCCATTATTCCTACTTTGCCCAGTCCCTATCTTTGTTCTACAGCAGCGGTTCTCAACCTGTGGGTCCCCAGATGTTGTTGGACTACAACTCCCATCATCCCTGAACTCTGCCCTTGCTAGCTTGGGGTGATGGGAGTTGTAGTTCAACAACATCTGGGGACCCACAGGTTGACAAAGGCTGTTCTACAGCATTCCTGAGGAGAAGGGTTGTAGAACATTCACTACAGAAGGTTCCTGGTTCAATTCCTGGCATCCACAGGTTGGGTTGTGAGGGCATTCCTTCCCAAAGCCCTGGAAAGCCAGCATGGACAATAGGGATCTAGATGGACCAAGGGTCTGATTTAGAAAAGGCATCTTCAGTTGCCTTTGTTGTTGTTGTTGTTGTTGTTTACATTTGCATACCATCCTTCATCCAAAGATCTCAAGGTGGTTCACAGCATAAAAACACAAGGAGAAAAACCAAAATATGTAATAAAAACAAGAACGAATAAACCAATACCCCCCCCCAAACTCATTTAAGAGGGGTATAAGATGTTAACCAGCCCAAGGCCTGGTTGAAGAGGAACATTTTTGCCTGGTGCTTAAACGTGTATAATGAAGGCCCCAGCCAAACCTCCCTGGGGAGAGCATTTCACAAATGAGGAGCCACTGCAGAAAAGGCCTGTTCTTGTGTTGCCACCCTCCAAACCTCTTGTGGAGGAGGCACACAAAGAAGAGATTCTGATGATTATCGCAGGGTGCAGGTAGGTTGAAGTGATGTTCATGCATTTATAAACCTGACCATTGTGCCATGCAAAACTGGGGGAAATATTGCCTTTCCCCTTGCCTTGCTTGCTTTAGCCACAATCTAATTTCTAGAGAAGAATTTTGTAAAGGCATTTCCAGGTGTCTGGGTTCTCTTTGCTAATGCTAAAGTACATTCTGTAAAGGAAGTCCCCAGCTGTCAAAATACTCTGCCTTGCGGACTGAAGATAATAAACCAAAATACACAACAAAGAGGTTTGTGGCACCTTAAAGGCTAAGTAATGTATTATAACATAAGCTTTCATAGACTCAAACCCATTTTGACAGATGCATGGAATGAAACATTAGTTGGCAGGTATATAAAGTAGAAAATTGTAAGGTGGAAGTAGAATAGCAATGATATGCAAACATTACAGCCAGTAATAATTAGAAATGAGAGGTTGTCACACCCCAAACCATCTTGGAAAGCCTTCCTCACTTCTATGCTTTCCTGAAAGCATGGTGACATTTTATCTCCCCACAGTCTGGGACTTTCAGAGTGATTTTGTAAACAGACTGCATCTGGATTCCCCAGGAAACTGCCGAAGATAATGAATTGGTGTCTAATGGACTGGAATTAATTCTTCCTCTCAACAAAAAGATCAATGATTGCTGTCTTTGGGGCAGTTGACTTGAATTGGGGCAGCGTGGGGGTAGAGGGAAGAGAATCTAAGTTTCTTTCCATTGCAGGTTTTGGAGCAATTGTTGAGGATTGTATTATTGGAACAGGATAGGTGGCCTGGAAGCCTCTGCTGAAAAACCTCCACAGATGTTGAGCCCAAGTGAAATGCATGCACACAAATTCACTCCTTCAGCCCTGAAAATTTGGGGGAGCAACAAGTCAGCCTGGCCCTCATTCTGAGCCACGCGAGGCAAGGTTCAGTCAACAGACAGACAGCAGTTTAGAAGGGAGCCATGATTACCCCAGTCCAAGTTTGCTGCCTTGGGACGAAACTATGGAATTTAAGCACAACGCGACAATTTAGTGTTCCCCAACTGAATGTGGTCCTCAAACTTTGGTTCTGGACATGAGCTTCTCAGCTGTGGTCTATAAAAGCACTGATTGACGGCGCTGCTGTTGACGTTTCCCAAACCCCTTTCTGCCTTCCTCATTAAATGGTCCATGTTACCCGCTAACTCTTGCCGCCTCCCTCATGGGGAAATTCTGACACTCTAATTATTCCTCGCCTGCTGTGTCTGTCAATTTTTAACAGCTCTACTTGGCTAAGTGTTTAATCACACAGTCCATGAGCATAACACTTTACCTCTCTCTCCCTCGCAACCCACCAAAGGGGGGGGGCGAACTTTTTAGTTTTTCTCATGTGCAACAAATAAATGACTTTGTTCCGGCCTTCAGTGAAAACTGTTACTTCCTATGATTACATTTCAGAGAGATGAGGGAACCTACATTTCCTTTAATGCAAGAACCCCAATGCCTCTTTGCATCTCATTCTGGGTTGTCCTATGCCAGGGTTTGCCAAACTTGGATCTCCAGCTGTTGTTGGACTACAACTCCCATCATCCCTAGCTAGCAGGACCAGTGGTCAGAGTGTTGTGTTGTTCAGGTTCTGCTTGCAGGTTTCCCATAAGGATCTGGTTGGCCACTGCAAGAACAAGATGCTGGAATAGATGGACCTTTGGCCTAATCCAGCAATCTCTTCTAATGCTTTTACAAGCTCCAGTCCTCAGCATGTCCAGTTTGTCCTGGAAAAGGTGCCTGAAAGTCACTGCTATTCAGTGTAGACAGACAATTCTGAGATAGATGTGTTGGTCAGTATCCCGCTGCTTTCTAGGTTCCTAGGTCTATGCAACATCATCCTTTGCATTATAGTCTTGGTGAGGAAATTGGTAGCCCTGAGAATCAGGCCTTAATATTATTTACAGTACTCTAAATATTCAATTAAATCTGTTTCTGCCAGCTTAACTAACAAAATGCCTTTGTAGAAGTCTTCCAAAAGAACAGCCTAGTGCACAAAGAAGCATGCAAAGTCTCATTGCTTTCTGTGGTCTTAACTGCATTCAAATGGCTGCTTGGATTGCAGTAGTGCCATTTTAATCATGACATCTCCCCGGGTCTCAGGTTTCCTATGCTTGATTTAGCTGCTTCCTATTCCTTTCAGGGCACGCTGGTGGCGCTGTGGGTTAAACCACAGAGCCTAGGGCTTGCCGATCAGAAGGTTGGCGGTTCAAATCCACGTGACGGGGTGAGCTCCCATTGCTTGGTCCCTGCTCCTACCAACCTAGCAGTTTGAAAGCACACCAGTGCAAGTAGATAAATAGGTACCGCTCCGGCAGGAAGGTAAACGGCATTTCCGTGCGC